AATCATTGATGAATGCGTACTGATATATAAAGGCGGATTACCATTTGTCTTGGCTCTACATGCGTGGAATGCTGTCCAGAAGCTATTAAACGAAGAGTTCCAAGTGGTGAAGTTGAAATCATCCCTTCGTAAATTTGACGGACGCCATCACGAGTTGGTTGACCGTTATGGAATATCCGTTTCACAGATTATAGCGGATATGTTCATAATGTCGTAACAACAAACCCGTCCCCTTTTCCCGAATGTGACCTGCCGAATAAGACTTATTACTAGGTTTGTACTAATATGAGCAACACGACGGATGCCACATGTGGAGCAGGATCTGCTTACCCTTCCGGAGCACCTGAGATCACCCCAAGTTTTTGGTGGGGTTCGTGTTGCTCAGTCTTTAGTTTTCTATGTTGTGTTTTTTGTACTATTGTTTGTCTGTTAGTCTTTTTCTTTTTAGCCATGGCGTTGTCAGTTTATTTTCGACTTATGAGTTTAAATGTCACTTTGGTATATTTCGCCTCTCTTTTGTTTCCATTATCATCTGCTTCAAGCCATCTGTGTTTATACTTTGTTAACTTATTTATACCATGTGAGGATATAGTTGACTAATTATACCACATTGGCACACATGTTTATCTCGTAAGACAATTGACATAGTGCATGTCCATAAAATATTCACTATTAGATGCAAGTATGATACACATGGTTATAATTGGTTAGTATTAAGGATATATCTTATTATATAGTAAAATATATACTAAGTTATAGCAATAATATGAATAATTGTGCTGGCGCATACTATATTGGTTAAAGTACCAGAGGTTATAAGTGAAATGCATATATTTCAAAGCAAAAGGTTATCACGAATTTGCAAAGTTAGACTGCTGAAAAGAAAAGGCTGAAATATGGAAATTGTCGTACTATGTAACAATTCTTTAGCCGTATTTGAACTCTTGTCGTTGTCAATATTGTCCACGGATGCTGTTGTAAAACCTACAGGTTTCGCGGGAAGAACCACATATTTCATGTTGAAAGTTTCATAAATTGAATCTTCTATTACTGTAGATAATTGGACCATTCATAAACGACAGTCGTAAACTGTACATTTTGTCATTTAGTAATATGTATTATGAGATGGTTTTAGTTCAGCTCAATTTAATGTTAAAGAAGAATAGAGAAATAAAACAGAAGTAACTTTGAAATGGATAGCATCGTATTTACCTCTATGAAATAACTGGACTGCATCTGAATATTTGGCTAAACGATTATCAACTAATGTTTTTAAGGATTGTTGAAAAGACTTTCGCCTTCATCATGTCGTTTTGAACTACCTGTATTTGCAGCTCTTTCAAGTATCGTTGTTATACAAACAGATTGTTGCGATTGCTTGTTTAATTGCAACTAAACAGAAGAAGCAAGCACCTGCATTGTTAATGGCATGGCAAGCCTGAGATTACTGCAATTGTTAGATCATTAATATGTCCTCTTCCAGTTGATCACAGAAAAAACTGTTAGAGTCGGAAAGTATACATTTTAATTAAGTCTAGCTTAAATATTGGAATAACGCCAGTGTCTATACGTAATTCCTAGTTGTAGACGACTGTTCTATAAGAATGGTACCGTAGTTACGATTTTCTATACTGTCCTCACAAATCTTTTGATGTTTGGCTTTAGTATAAAAATATGGCATACACTTGGTATTATAGTGCACTAGATTTTACTGTCAAAACAAAACACTTTGTAACCTTCTATAAGTGTATTTTGTTGATTTTGATATCTTATGGCGGCTATTTAGGAAAAAGCCGCCATTTTGTAATTTCAAGTTGTGTCCATAGCTTATATTGTTCGAAGCATCCAGCACTACAAACATGACAAATTTGAACTAAAATACGTGATATTTGTTGATTTTGATATTTTTTGTGGCGGCCATCTTGTAAAAAGCCGCCATATTGAATTTTCAAGCTGGGTTCATAGCTCATATTTTCTTAAACACCCAGCACTACTACCACCTCAAATATGCCCTTAGATTTGACCTGATATAAATGATATATTTTGATTTTGATATTTTATGGCGGCCATCTTGAATAAAGGCCGCCATTTTGAAATTTCAAGGTGGGACCATAGCTAATATTGTTTAAAACACCAAGAACTTCTCCCATGCCAAATTTGGTGCTTTTATCATCAAACCCACAACTTTGTCACCGATCCGCTGGACTAATACGTCAATGAGATAGCATCTCTATACACTAAAATTTTAAAGAATGAAAAAAAAAAAAAAAAAAAAAAACCAACAGAAGTTAATGTTTTCGTCCCTTCACTAGGTTAGAAAAAAATATCATTAGAATCGAATAGAATAGATTTTCGACAATAGAGAAATCTTTCTCATACATTGCATTTATGATATTTTTAACAGTTAAAATCTCTGGTTTGCAGCATAATACTAGAGAGTTTATTTTTTTACAATCTGTGAATAGTAGATTCACCAGAACTGTTAGCCCGGATAAAGTGTATGTGCTAGTTGCGAAGGTGTGTTTTCTTTGTAGCCTTATGTTTTTGGTGTGCGTAGGGACAATATTAAATGAAGTTTTTTTCTTAAAAAAATCCGCAGTCGATTACTAGTTATTATAACTGAAAATGTTGTTTAAGGTGAAGATATTAACATGTCCAGTATTGTTTGGTCAAGATATAAATTGTTAATACAGAATAAAAATAATATCAACTGTAAATACATTCGGCACATAGAAACAAGTCTATCATATCGAGGACGCTCCAAGTCTAGCACCCTGTCTGACTGTGCGGATTGTCTTAATACACAACCACGTCCGGTATGAATTGGATCGTTATGTTTCGAGGGTGAACGTATACGTAAATGTACATAAGCCGAACAGTTTTATCATATTCACATAATTCAAAATGTGCTGGTTCATATTCTGGACGCCAGTCTTTGCTCCTTTCTAATAAAATCCTCATATTCATATGACGAAGACATAATCTTTCAATCAGTTTAATTGAGGTCTGGAGCTGGCATGTCAGTAACTGCTAGTAGTCTGTTGTTATTTATGTATTATTGTCATTTTGTTTATTTTCTTTTGTTTCCTGTTCTGACATCGGACTCTACTCTCTTGAACTGAGTTTTACTGTGCGTACTGTTGTACGTTTGTTTTTCTACATTGGCTAGAGGTATAGGGGGAGGGTTGAGATATCAAAAAACATGTTTAACCTCGCCGCATTTTTGCGCCTGTCCCAAGTCAGGAGCCTCTGGCCTTTGTTATTCTTGTATCATTTTTAATTTTAGTTTCTTGTGTATAATTTGGAGTTTAGTATGACGTCCATTATCACTGAACTAGTATACATATTTGTTTGGGGGCCAGCTGAAGGACACCTCTGGGTGCGGGAGTTTCTCGCTGCATTGAAGACCCATTGGTGGCCTTCGGCTGTTGTCTGCTCTATGGTCGGGTTGTTGTCTCTTTGACACATTCCCCATTTCCATTCTCAATTTTAATCCTATGCAGTATGTTAGATTTGGTTTCCTGCCACAAGACCATATTTCATCATTATTCAGGGGCAGTCCAAATTACCTGCTAACCATACTTGTTAGTCCACTATGGTGAACCTACTTCTGTGATATGTCTTAGTTGTTTTTCTTAACATGCATGACATTAGACCACTGGATTTTATGCACATAACTTTCATTCTTTTTACCAAATATGTTACCAAAAACGATAATTGATTGCATATATTCAGGCATAGTGTTATTTTGACGAATTAATAAAAAAGAGATAACGGGTATACGTCAATAGCACCAAACCCAACAATCCAAGTAGTGTAGTATGTATTATAAATGTATATTTGAATGATTTCCATTTAACTACGCACTTATATATTTTTTTGACACAGTTAGTATAATTTCGGTTTGTGACCCATTTATAAAGGACACTTCACTATGGTAGCGGCATGCATGATGTCACAAATATTTACTCTGATTGGACGAAAAAACGGAATTGAACAAAAACCAACAAAAAAAAGATATATGCTACAATAAAATGAAAACATTACGGACATAAAATCAAACTTAAAAATGAAATTATCTAGATAGATAAAACTAAATTCAGGTAAAGAAGGTTTCATTATCACCACTGTCAAATTGTTTGGAATTTGTAGGCTTAGTCTTTAATACACGAGTAGGTAAATATCACTGACAGGTCCATTAAATATACCAAGTCAATTATACTGTTAATAGCTCAGTGCTATAAATTATATCTTATTGACTTAAACTTCCAAGGCGTATTAATAATCCCAAAGAGTACACAATATTATACTTGAAATAAAAAATGTCAAAATACATATATCGCAAATTTAATTACTTGTCAAAAGCTGTATTAGAATCATCCCTCTTTGGCGTCCGTCCGTCCCCGATATACACACCGAAATAGGTTGTATCTTTAATTGTTAAAGTTGTTCTTGACTTATAGTTATACTTCACATTTCATGGATCTAAACTGTTTCAAGTTTGTTATTCATTACAGATTGTAATCTACTAAAATCTTATGTGTATGTCTTTTTCACAACTATAGGTACATTTAATGTACTTCTTTATCTCTGAAAAATATCTATAAATATATAAATATATATATATTTAGTTAAGTACCATACAGTATAGATTTTAGTTCTTTAAAGAAAAGCGCATATACTCATCTTTCAGAATCGTCAGCCTTTTGCCATCAAATTGTGTGCAATTTTTTTAAACTATAATTAAAAAAAACCTGATAAAGATTCATGGTTTGTTTTAAACTATATGCTCATATCTGAATGCGTCAGATATCTTTTTTTTAATGATAGTACTTGTTTTCTAATTACAACATTAATTACTTTCAATATAAACCACGGAAACTTCCTCTTGGCGATAAAAAATATATGCAACCAATGATAATTTTCAAACGTTTCCTTTTAACAATTTTTCCGTATAAATTCCATTATTGTCTACGATCCTTTTCAAAGCAAATTATGTTGTTAACAGGGTTAAAATGGCCACTGATATAGAATGGATGATAATATTTGATTTGTTGTTGATTAGCATTTTCGAAATAGGTATGTTAATTTATGCAACAGACAATTTCTTCCTCAGATGGAAATGATTTAAATCCAATTTGCATACATGTACGAAAAATAATGGTCGACAGATACAGCATAAGCTCTTATTATTTTTTTGTAGGAACTCATTTCACAATTTGATTAAAGCATCAACAGCTAAGCTTATTTTTCTGTACACCTGTCTTCCTGGTTTTGATTTTTTGCGCGTTTAATTCATTTACTATGATCATATTCTAAAATGTTTTGTGTGTCTACTGTCTTTAAATTTAGTAATGTACAATCTATCTTTAGACTAAGTATGCTTCATATCTCACTATACTTCTTTAAATTTCGTTCAAGAACATTTACGTTCATACTTGATAAACTAATCGCATTATTTGCAATTAACTAATACACATTGTTACATTTGTAGTTCGTTAATTTATTCCCAGTCTAAGTATGAGAGGATGTATAATTAGAGGTCGGTCAATTTAAAAAGTATCCACTCATATCAGTTACGTTGACGTTAACATATCTGGAGATATAACAACATAGCAACAAACACTATTTTATCCCGAGTTTAAGTCTATGTTGCGTATCAAAACTCTTTATCCTCTTTATTTCATGTAAAACTATAACTAAAACAATTATACAGCTTTACTAGATTGGTAATGGTGGTATTTTGAGAAAAAGGGGGAGAGGGGTTCTATCATTAGCTAACTTAGGCTTGTGAAAAAACGACAGATATGGGACAATTGCACAAAGACAGTAAAAAATACCAAATGAAACACAGAAAAAAGACATCCTATATATATACATGCCTGGCCATTGCGTTTCTATAGCAATGTTCTACAAATCGTTCTATTCTACTTTGTCACACTTTGTTTCATTAATTTGAAGTACTTTTTGTTATGACATATTGGACTTGATATTAGGGGCAAAATAAATCGCTTACCGTGCCTACCTTTGCGACGGCTTGTCACACTTGTCTCCCCCTTTTTGTTATGTCTGTTTTATGGTTTTTATCGTTTCCGGTAGGGAGCTAAATTAGCTTCATTTTTTAATCTTGCATTACCTTAGTCTTATATTTATAGACATACCATTTGGAAATTTTAATTTTAATGCCTTAGATTTCTTCTACAATATGTGTGGTTCAAAATAAGGTGCACTCGATTCGGTTATGTTCCAGACGAGAGATAGTTAAACTTAGACATGTATATTTGTTACACACTGTCATACATAGTGCCATGTACCTCGTAAGCGCAGCTCCTACACATATTCAACGATATTTTACTCAAGGATAGTACGACATATTATTTTAGTATGTTCCCAGATACGTATACGTCAACGCACCTGATACGATTGATACGTTTTAAATTGACCGACCTCTATTAGTACATTTCACCTACACTATATTACGTTTAACTTCAACGTATTCTAAATGTGTCGACTCAATGATTTGTTTTTTAAAACATGTCCAGGTTTAAATTGTTGTATGTGCCTCAATATTCATGTAGCCTTTTATAAAAGATGTTTTTCAAGTGCATTTTTAATAATCGAAACCCTTAATTGAACGCTATTGCAGTGTTTTCAGAATAAGTTGTAACATGAATGGTAATGTTTCCTTTGATCTTAAAGTGAGTTAACTTCGATTATTTTTAGAGGAGTGCGTTAACTGAATGATTTTTTAGTTATTGCACTCTCCAGTCCCGCCGTGTGTCGCTTGCCATAGGAAAAGCAAAGAATGGGAGGAGCTTAGACCAGTGTTCTAACTTCCATCTCAAAAGTTGTTATTTCACTGTCTAGCTCCGCCTTCTTGGCCTAGTAAACTATGAAATCAATGACCATAAAATGTCCTTATAAATGTAAACAAAATGCATACACAAAAATATATCAAAAACATATCGAGAAAAGGGGGGGGGGGGGGGGGGGGGGGGGGGGGGGGTGCTTACCCTAACACTAGCCAAACTTGTCAACCTAACCCTAATTTAAAAATGGTTCCCTATACATTGTACTTGAAACAAATGAATGCTCGAGGAGAGCTACAAAAAGGAATAACGTGGTCTATAATCGAAGAGGCGATATTGATAAATTGGTGGATACTTGTTTTTATCGTGACAATATAAATATTCCAAAACAATTGTCACTGGAATTTTAGTCGGTTAATTTCCTCCACTTAATGAAAGAATAAAACAAAATGTAATAGAAATGACAATAAATTTTCCTACTGTTATTTTGGTTTGAATTCCTGTTTTTATCGTGTCGAAATTATTAATATTCTAAAAAAAATATGTCACTGAATGGTAAGTAATTTTCTTCATTCTATAAAGGCCTATCTCCGTGAATTGATCATGCTTCAGATATTTGTCCCTGGATTTTACACGCATTCAACATGCAACCATTGCAATCAATTTTTTTCCAGTTCTTGGAAATGGAAGAATAGTATTAATTACCTTCATAATTGGTATTAGAAAATGTTTCCTTCTTACCACAACGATAAAACTCCTTTGAAACTACATGCGATTTTCGAGTCGGGGGGAGGGGGGGGGGGGGCAGATAAATATCAAATAAAATTTTGCATCAACGCTTTTCGTGAATTAAATACGTTAATTCGTAAAAGGCGTGCGATATATACAACTTGATATAATTTCTTTGTATAGTTGGCTATTGGGCGTTTCTGGTGAAGGTAAATCCAGCAAAGCGCTTCCAGACTCGAAAACAGTCGGTAGGGGTCCTTTTATAATTTTGACATTAAGCAAAACAACATATAACAAAAAGATAAACACAAAGTACCGATCTACGATGCAATTACTGAAAGCTAGTCCAAAGCATCACTGAGACATTTTTTCGATATATTTGTATGCGCATTTGGTGCACCGTAAAATTGTATATTCTTATTGTTAGTATCAGATATATTCAGGCTATGGAACATATTTCAATTAGGGTTATTCCCACTTTACCACAACACAATCCCTACCAATAAATGATTAAAATGTAAATCGAAAAGATCTCTGAATAAACTGTGTACGTCCGAAGCGTTTTCATGGATTTATTTTCATCTGGAACGCTAAACAACTAATCATTGGAAAGCCAGAGATGTAAAATAACGTGGAAACGGTAGAAGCTATATGATCCAATGGGAATAGCCATAATCCTCTAAATTCAACTTTTATTTACCTGAAGGAGTTGGAACCTTAGTTTTTGAATAATTTCAAAATCCACCAACGGGAATTTCAAAGCAGTTGACATAAATCATGTCAATGCCGAAGCACTGACTACTGATCTGACGAAACCTCTATGAAACATTAAAAAATATATCATCTGTACATGTATATGAAAATATTTATGTAGATTTTCCGGAAGTCCTTACAATTTCTCGTCCTTTTTATCTGATGCATTGATCTAATTTTTTTATAGTTCCAGTAAGTTCGGCGTTATCACGGTCTGCAGGGAAACACAATTGGACTAATAGCTTCCAAAAATGTAATCTTGCTAAAGAAAATCAACTGGATGAAATAAATGTAAATGGTCGTGTATGGGTTGGTGGAGTCTTCAATACTACATTATGGATGACGCACAAAGGTTAATGTTTTAAGAAAATGCTTTATACTTTCTTATTTGTCACTTTGAGTTATATATTTTGTAAGCTAAAGAAAATATTTGGGCAATATTAATTAACGGGGAAAATAAACTTATTTTTAATTATTACAATATTATACAGGATTATTTCAATGAATCAAAAATACCAATTGGAATACAGCATTCAATATGAATGCCATGTATTGGATATAAAAAAAACATATAAAATATAAATAATACATAACAAATAACACAAATCAGAAGAGAGGTGAACGATTCTAAAGGGATATTTTAACTCAAAACAAACTAAAAATTCTATGACAATGAAAAACGACCAAACGAACAAACAATAATTAAACAAAACACGAGCAACAAAAAACCCACCAAAAACCGGGGGTGATCTGAGGTGCTCCGGAACAGTAGGCAGATCCTGCTTCCAATGTGATAGCTGTCATGTTGCTGATTAAGTATAACCCGGGAATAACTCCTTTTTTCCTCGATTGTGACCTACGATGGAGGAATAGAGTACAAGATTTTGGTTACCACAACTGGACCACCTAGGAAAAAAATAATCCAAAACGGCCATCCAACTGATAATGGCATCAGTAAAAAAAGATATTTAAAGGGAACAGACAACACTGTAAACGTAATCTAAACACTAAACGAAATGTCACTGTTCGTCGATTATTATATGGATTTAAACAGGATAACTTTGATCATTTGGTGTATTCCTTTTGAAATTATAAGCTCTTTAACGGTTTTGTTAGATTTTGGATTTTCAAATTTTGTGGCATCATTTTGTTGGAAACAAGACCACTAATTTAATTATAACATGTCAAGTGAGGATATTTTTGTATTTTTTGGTAATATTGCAATCAAAGCTAATCACGTGGGTGGCTTTATTTCCCTCGAGAAGTTAAAACTTTTATGCCAAAATCCTCAGTTGGCATACGCAGGTCACTTTCGCGGTCTTCAACAAAAGATTTCTTGACATTTATGGCATATTTATTCAGCGCTTTGTCCTAAATAGGAATTATGTATTTGAGTCTGAAATGTATTCAATTATTAATTGATGTATCATAATAAATCTCCCTTCACTTAAAAGTCTCTTTAGTTATTAGTCAATATTTATCCTTTATCACTTATTATATAATAATTATTTTTGGGTTAATCCAGGATGTTATAGAGCGTCAACACTCAACGAAGTAGATTGGACACACAGTGAAACCAATTCCCCTGCACAATGTTCTTTGAACTGTAGAAGGCGACAGTATTTTGCACTGAAGGTTAATACATGTATATATATTTAACCATATGTACAAATTTGACATTTGTTTAAATTGAACGTAATACCTCTCCGTAGCATTTTTAATGTTATTTGTTTGTAAAAGTATGAATTTTAGAATCATCCTTTCGGAGATGACATGCATATGGGTTCTTGTAGATTCAGAGAAAAACCTATTATTTAAAATCATTAATCATTAAAAGTATGGTTCATATACTATTCTAATACAAAAACCTCTACAATTAAAAAAAAAAAAAAAAAAAACAATCTAAAAGAATTTTTTTTTGTAAAAACAACAATACAAATATTATCAAATGTATAGCCATCACACAGGGTTATGCCGTTAAAAAAAATACTCTACCTACACTTGGTTAATATAACACTAAAATAGTACCCGTTTCGTGTATAAATGGAATATCTATTTGGATAAATGATGTAAAAAGAAAAATAACAAAAATACCAAACTTTAATGAAATTTCAAAATCAAAAGCTCAAAGACATAAAACGAATGGAAAACAACTCTCATATTCCTGACTTGGTACAGGTATTTCCTTAGGGAGAACATCGTGGATTAAACCTGGTTTTATAGCTAGTTTGCGTGGATGTAATGTAATTTTGTTTTATTTTGCATAAACATTTTCAGTTGTAAAAATATTTTGAAGAAAAAAAAAAATAATACTGTTAATTGTAAAATATTTTATAGACTAGAATATAATTTTTTTTCAGAACACTGTATGCCTATGTTTAAGTTATATTTCAACGATAAACAAATCAGAAGCATCTTATTGCAATAACAGCTGTCCCGATTTGACGATGAACATGACATGTGGAAACGTAGCTCATGGTTATCTTGACGTATATAAACACAATCTAGGTATCAATTATTATGTTAAAATCGCATTGATGTTACTGACTGATTGGATATAATATCTCTATATAAATTCCTAGCGTCCAAAGGGCTTTTCGTAATTTGACTCCATCAGGAATGCTAAAAAATATGTGTATCTGATATTGTTTCTAATTTGAAAATATTTTTTATCATTTCCACTGGTTATATCAGCTCTAGATCTGCAAATGTGATAAAACTAATATTTGACCTAGAACATTACTGAGACATAATTTGTTGATATATTTATATGCGCATTTGGTGCACTAAAATTGTAGCCGTTGAATTATATTATTTATCTTGCTAGTATCGCTTATACCATATATCGGATCTTTTTGCGTGTGTTTTATTTTTGCTTTTGCAGCTAAAAAACGCGAACCTTTAACCCGCTTAAATTTGTCTGCATATTCCACGATTTTTCACTATTGTATCGTTTTATATCATCCTGTGCACCTGATATTCCTCCGGTTTTAATCGAGGTTTGTGTTAGTCTTTATTTCTATGATGTGTTTTGTAAACTGTTGTTTGTTTTATGGTCCTTTTTCGTGTTTGGCATGTCATTTTTGGTTCGTTTTCGACTATGAGTTTTAAAGTCTTTCGTCTCTCTTTTACTATTAAATGTATCTTCTGTTTACCACAGTAAATTCATAACTTCTATATGATTAAAATGTAAATTGAAAATATCACTGTATAAATGAACCACTTGTATGGAGTACTCCCAAATAAATACCCTAAATCGACGTAAAAAGCGTAAATTAATTGTCACTTTTTTAAATGATTGTAGTAATTTTGATATGAATACATTGACTTTAACCCTCTATTAAGCAATTTAATTGCATGTGTCTTTCTCTTTTTCTTTCAAAACGGGTACGTTCGAACAGAGACATATATATATAAATATATATCTCTGGTTCGAACCTGAAGGGAGGAATACATTGTATGTAACAAATTACACATTTTATTGACACACTTTCTAAAAGCTAGACAAGGTTTTATTTCAATAAGATTTTTAATAACCATGGTGTCACAAATAAAGTACGTTAATAAAGCAAAAAGACTACAAAACAAGAGCAAACAAAAATAAATTACGACAATCAAAGAAACTGTCAATGCTCGACAGAAACATTGGATTGAACAACACCAACCCTTAAAAGTCCACCAAAATTGAAAACGGAAAGTCCCTTATTAAACATGTTAAATGGCAAAATGAAGAGCTCAAACATATCACAACAAAGGAAAACAACTGTCATATTCCTGACTTGGTACCGGTATTTCCTTATGTAGAAAATGGTAGAAGTGTAGGTGATTAATCGAATAACGTGGTGTCACAAGCTAGAAAGACAGGGAAAGATAGTTACGACCTTTTAAAGTGTATTAAATGTGCTACATAAATTGTCATACAGTTATGCAATGAAACAGATGTAGGAAAGTTTCAACTAGCTAGGAGCAAAACAACAACAACAAGACAAGAAAGGAAGAAATAACTGTAAAGTTGAAATGAGTTGCAGACTGGGATTACAATCAATAGTATTACAATGTAAATGACATGGTAAAGCGACACAGAATATATACCCCGAGCAAAAAAATCATAAGCCAACTATTGTACAAGAGATTAATCAATTAATGTACAGAACACTTGAGAACATTAGTTTAATAAAGCAGATAACTATTTTTTTTATAGATGATACAGATATATTTATTCTATTACATACACATCACGTGGGTGAAAGACATAAACATTGTCTGTTCAGTAAATTATCAATACTATTAATCATTGTAAGTTTATGAAATATTTAATTAGACTTAGAAGTGCTTGGCGAAGAAGACAGTCGAAAAGCCTGCACAATTCTAAAGAAAAATCCCGAAAACAGAGTATTTTTTCATGCAACCAGTTGTTCAGACAAGTACAGACTGTTCTGTCATTTACCAGGCACAGGTGAGAAGCATGATATGTAGTGTTTAATTGTCAGTTTAACATGGATAATGTACGATTTTTGACAAATTTCCTTTTCACCGATGCTTTTCAAACTGTCTGAATATCTATGCTCACAGTAAAACAGTTATAAACATAAAATACACTACTTTGAATCGGGTGACGATTGACTAGTTTGTGTTAAGAAATTAAAGTTTTCTTAAAACTAGTAGAATGTCGCCAATGATGTTAAATAAAATCTGTGTAACAAAGTCTCTAAAATGACGTGGCGGTCAAATTGTAAAAAACTAATTTTCTTTCTATATTTTTAAAGCCTTCTTATTGAATTATGGGTACATATGGTGATGGTGTTCTTTTTATTCTGTGAATTTGTGAACCTATAATAAGCTCCTGGTTTCACATTCTTCCAAATGTTTTTTTCATTCCACACTTTATTATCTTTGGTAAAGGGAGGAAACTCTTCATGGGGATAGACTGTGTTTTCTTTAAAGTAAATCTGATTGAATGTATAAAAAAGACAATGTGGTATGATTGCTAATGAGACAACTTTAAAAAGAGGCAAAACGACGTGGAAGTTAGCAACTATAGGTTTCCGTACGAACTCCAATTATGACATGGTAAATTAAGATTTAGATGTCATCACGAATTATCTTAATTTGGTTTACAAAGGAAGCATAAATGGTTTGAAGATGTGCGTTATGTTAATACTCATACTCTTAGAAGTGAAAAGCAAACACAACAAATAAAAAAGGCGCAATAGTGCTTTTAAAATATTGTTATTCCAAAGTGCAATTTTTTTAGTAAAATGTCAAGCTCATGATAAACAAATGACAAATTATAACGTTTACAACATCGACCGAAGTTTTTGCGTATACGTTGTTTACAATTCTGCAATACGTATATCTTTCAGACTACATAAACGACATTGCAATGACATATCAAGATGCAATAAAGATTGACAATGAATGCAAACTACTCAGAGACTGGGATAGGGAGTACTATGGTCTGGTACCATACGATCAATTCGTTTGGACGGCTGTTCATAGATATATTGTATTGATATGGCCCTTGCGAAATCACATGAACACAGATGAAATTGAAAAGGAAAGTAAGTCGTGTAATATTATTTCTTAAAAAAACAAAGAGTTTGCACAAGTGTTGAAGCAATATAATTATGTTTTCATTCTTCAAATATATCGAGTATTTGCCTAGAAAATATCTTCCGAAACGAAACTCTTTCATTTTTAGGTTGATTAATAACAATTTCTTTTGAAAATTAACAAATAAAGGCAATAGTAGTATACCGCTGTTCAATAGTCATAAATCGATATAACTGAAACAAATCCGGGTCACAAACCAAAACTGGGGGAAACACATCAACTATAAGAGGAAACAAAACGGAAAAACAGAAACACTGAACTGCTACAAAAACAAACGCCAACATCCATAGAAACGGACTATATGATAACAACTGCCATATTCCTGACTTGGTACAGGACATTTTAAGAAAAAAATGGTGGGTTGAACCTGGTTTTATGGCTAGCCAAACCTCCCGCTTATATGGCAATGTTAAAAAAATACCGCTAAAATGACAACATTACGTGACAGAAATACAGTACAATAAATGCAAGAACATTCAGGACAGAGAAATACATAAATAAATAATATAATAGTACATTTCAACATGTAAACCACAGAATAACAACGAACACCTAAAATTATTTTACGACAGAACACAAATACAGCACAATAGAATAATGAACTATGCGTCACAGGAATGTATCAACGCCACAAGTGACGTCACAGGTAAATTTCTAAAAATAGAATATAAAATTGGGGTTAAGTTTGTAATGGTGTTATTTGATGTATTTTCTAACCATTACAAGAATATTAATATAGAATTGTGTTAGTAATGGTGTAATTATTTGTATTTTATAACCATGTCGGTTTTTCTTCTAAATCAAACTGTGTAAAAACAAATAAATCCTGTGCATATAGTTGCTTTAAACTGAAAATCATATAAATGAACTAGGTGATTAATATCTTTACTTTTACATAAATAAAAATAGAATTAAAACCACAAAGATAAGACATAAAACAACATCCAACTAGAATTACAAATGAAACATCATAACAAAATACATGAATGTTGGATGTACAAATACCGAGACAAGTCTAATAGCAATGCAAACTTACACTCAGCATAACAGTCATATTCGGGAATAGGTCACGTTCGGTACTTAGAAGACCAGACGACGTAGATGGTAAACCACAATCTAAGACGTGGTAAAAATGTCGTTAGTTAGTTTAGCCACAGACACATCGTATAGATCAACCAATTCGTGATGGTGTCCATAAAATTTATGGAGTGTCATTTTTAATCTTTTTTCCTCATAACTCTGTTGGAGCAGTTTCTGCGTAAGGAGCACACTCCTGTATATGAAGTCCGTATAGTGTGAACATGCACGAGCATAACGTATCAACTGAGATATGTAAACACCATACGATGGGGCAGAGGGTATGTTACTGCTTAGAAATGAGAAATTGATAATTGGGAAGTTGAAATAGTCCCGTTTGTCATAGATTTTAGTGTGAAGTCGTCCATCTGTGTCAATTTTGAGGAAAAGATCAAGGCATGAAGCAGTCCTTCTAGTATCACTGGGATATATGAGATGTAAGTACTGGCTGAAATATGGGTTATTCAGTGATAGGACATCATCAATATACAATGTATATCTGAAAGTAAAATTAAAGAGTTTCGCAAGGTGCTTTTTCTTTTTGTCTTTTAGAAGGTTTTGAATGAATTCTGCTTCATACGAGTACAAAAAAAAAAAAAAAAAAAAAAAAAACACAATTAGTACCCATTGGAATACTGACCGTCTGTTGAAATATCAATCCTCCAAACAAATATATTGTCGAACAAAAAGTCCAGCATTTTGATAATATCATCTTCAGTATATTTTCTGGTAGAAGCAGTGTGGTTCTTCACAAAATAAGAATAATAACCAAAAACAAGAAATGTGTATCTACGATTCCCATTTTTATAGAAGAGGCTCTGTTTAATGAGATGGTGAAGTCGATCTTTTAATTGAGCATGGGGAAAAGTAGTGTAAAGCGTAGAAAAATCAAAAGTTTGAATGCTGCTGCAATAAAGTTTGTCATTCAACTAAAACATTACGTTCTATTTTACTTTTTCGACAGCTTGTCAAGTTTATAAATTATTTGTGGATCTTTTCTAACTGATAATTCTTGTTTTGTCAAGTTTCTCGCTATCTGTAATAGGTTTTAAGATGATAACTCAAAGCACAACAATAATTAGAATTGCTATTAAAGGGCAATGTATCTTATAAGAAGTCGTTCGACCAATGGACACTGATAGATCGTCAATCTGAAATTTTCTCCCCTTTCAAAATTGTTTGTTTTCTAAAACCGTGACGGTATTCACAATATAAGCGATTTCTGTCATTTTCCCGTAAGTTTTAATTTGTAATGATATCTGCCATGTTGGGAGATTGGTGATTAAACGGTCATAATGTTTAAACTAGATATCACACGGATAGGTGTGGCTAAGTTTGGTCGCGATTGACATATGTAGTAGTGTTAGATAAAAAAATTGTTGTAAAAGTCAACGAACGAAACCAGGTGATGACAATGGCTCTAGTCCTTTATTCAAGGTGAGCTAAAATGAACAAATATGTGAAATAACCATATTATATGTAAAAAAAAGTATAAGAAAAATACTTACCTCCAATGCAAATTCAAAAAGGGGAAATCCATAAAAACGGACAAAATCAAACTCTATCAATCAGCAGTACAAGTGAAACACAACGCCCATATTCCTGACTTGTTATAGGCATTGTCCGAAGAAAATGGTGGGGTAAACCTGGTTTATAGCTAGCTAAATCTGCCGCATATATGGCAGTTGTTTATAGTTCCGTTATATTGGCACAATTGAGTAAGCAACCCAAACAGACAAAAAAGGTAATGTGATAATAATTGGAATCCAGCAATCAAAACTGTATAAACATACTTCACAGACACAATTGTCTAAAAAATTGAAACACACATACAATTTGATCTCACAAAGATGCCAACAAAAAAGGTGTAGTAAAAATTTATTACTCATCATAGATGCCAAGACTAAAGTTGTGTATGCAAGACGCGCGTTTTGTCATAAAAAGAGTCATCAGTGACGTAAATTTGACAATAACGTCACAAAAAAAATCTGCGACAGCTGACATCAATAACGAAACATAGTAAACATAGAAACATAGAAAAGTTTTAAAAATTATATCAGGGAAAATTAAAGCAGCAGTTGTATTCAAAGCAGTAATATTAAGTTCATCACTTCTTTCACATAAAAAGCCAGTAAACGAGTGCAATATAAGCATAGTATTGGTCCTGAGCAGGAGAAATTTGAATAAAGACGCAACACTGGTACAAAGAATTGTTTAATTTTTCAATAGCGAAAGCAATCCAGAACATAAACCGCCACAAAATTTTCCATAGTTTCTGTTTAGTCCAAGTTGAGCCTTTTTAAAATCCGGTTAAGGATAAGCCGAAATCCAATTAGCAACACTGATTACGAAGAACTTAGATTAAAAAAAAAACCAAAATTCTTATCAAACAACAAACCGTGTGTCCACACTTCGCTTAGGAGATTCGACACCGACTTGTTTCAATATTTGATTTTAAAACTTTTTTGGATATTTATGTTTTGTCGTTAGATACACACCTCCTCAATTTCGATGTTTATTAATTAGTTGACGTTATAATTATCTTAAGAGGAAAAAGAACGAAGCGTTGTTCTGTGTTTTAACAACATGGTAAAACCTGCGACGAAACGACTTGAACATTTTCATGTTGTTCTATTCCGTAAAAAAATGCTAAGGTAAAGTATGATGACATTATGAACGACAGTATCAAGGTCTTGTCGTTTATGAGATGACGTCACAATATATAAGGTAACTGGACAACCATTCCATTGGCTTCAAAACCTTATTGTGAAACGATTACGTTTAGAAATAAAAAATCAGTTCAATTATCTTCTGCTGATAGGTAGTTTTTGTAATGACTTGATATGTGTGCGCTGTTACTTAAATTTCGAATGATTAATCCTTCATGAATTTAATCCTTCGATATCAATACAGAATGTACTTAATTAATAACCTATTTCAACCTTGTGAATATTTACAGATCCAAATGCTACTTGTCTTGCATATGAGAGAAAAACCAATAAAAGAATTCAACTACCGTGTAGAACACCTCTCCATTACATGTGCATCACAGAAACCACAGGTTAGTATAATACACTAATTTTAGGATTATATCCTATAATACAAAATAAGGCATGCTTGCTAATTATAATTTATAAGGTAAAATGAATTTACAGCTGAACATCGTAGAAGAATTTTCAGGGATTGTCCATGTTGTCATCACCAGTGTAAGACACCACGAGGTTGTGCAATGCAAAAATGTAACAAATGTGCACAATTTTAACACGAAACTAATAACAAAGAAAATTTTGTTTTAAACTGTAAATAAATTCATTGATATTAAATACAAAATACAAGACGCAATGCTTAAACCTTTTTTGACCAGTTTATTATGTAAAACAGAAAGAATATATGCTATATATTTCTTTTAATAGACCTGTACAGGTTAAAAGTACAGATAAACGTACAAATAAATTTACATACAACTGACTCTATTTTAAAAGAGTAAAATCCATTTTATTCCTTTTTATAATCTTTTTCAATGTTTACCATAAATTGAATGCAGATTTCATAAAGAAACACACATATTTTACAATATTCCATGTTTTTACTCTTATAATTGATAAAATTTCCATTTAATGTTTGGGAAATTTCCCAAAATATATGAAAGTTTTAAAATATTTGTGGTAAAGATGTTTGTGACAACTTTTAATTCAGGAAATATCCCAAAATCATTTTCAACATTATTATTTAAAACATATATGTTGGCAAAGAATGTTGACAAACAGATCTGAAACACATTTCGGGAAAAATCCCGACAAAAATAAACTAAGTGGAAAATGTATAACACAGATGTCTTCGAATATTTTGGGATTTATCCCGAAAACAGAACGTATTTGCTAGAACTCATGACTAATAATTTCTTTTCACATTTCGGGAAAAATCCCGAAAATATAAATCTATTATCAGACACACACTTGTTACATAGATTTTTTTTACCCATTTCGGGAAAAATCCCGAAATAAAATCTGCAAGCAAAATTTTAAAATTATGCTACAGATTTCTTAAACATATTGGGAAAAATCCCGAAAAAACAAAATCTATAAGATATTATAACACAGAATTTTGATACATTTAGAAAGTTTTTATGTAAATTTGTTTCCAACATTTGTTAAAATTTTGATTCATAACAAATATGTTTCTAACTGAAAAAAATATGTATTTTGTTTATAACCATACTTTTCATTACAGGTCCGAAAAAAGTATTTTCTAAGAAATATTAAGGTTGCTCTCTACTGCATCTCTTTTGTCATGCTTTAGTAATTCCCTAAATATAATATCAACCAAATTTGTCCCACAAAAAGGGGGGCCTAGGCCTCCTCTAAATCCTCCTCTTATAAGTGGTCGATTTTAAACTGGCCTAAGCATAAACTTTCCATATAAACTGCAAAAGATTCTAAGTTATAAAACCATGATTTAGGGTTCAGGATAAAAAAATCCCCAAGCACATGTATTGTCCAAAAGCTTATTCAACTGCATATAAAATATCCCTGACCTACTTTTAGTGGTTCTCCTTAAACTGAACTTATCACAAATCTTACAGTGTAAACTAAGGAAATTTTCAAAGTCAATATTCCATTACTGAGAGGCTGGTGAGGAGGGCGGTGCTCTATGGGATTGAGATGTGTGTCCATAACACATTATACCCTGCTTCCACAACCAGATTTCCATATTCAGTAACTTATTTGTAATTACTTAAAAAAATCAATGACTTCATAATGAACACTTGAAAGTACAAAGTTTCAAGTTTATTTGACCATAACATCATAGTAAACTATTGTACACAAAACCTTAACCTACTGTACTGTTTGTACATCTTGAAAACAAAATGATTGATAAAAACTAGTTTCAACTCATTTCTTCAAATGCCAATGAAATTTTAAAATAGGAATAAAATCAAAAAAATCAAACTCAAAAATATTCAATAATGTAGCCTCATTTCATTTTCCTAATTTGCACAATTTTGTTTTTGTCACAGAAAACATGGAAGAAACTTTATCTTTAATTATATTTTTCTAAATTTCTTTGATGTTCTCCACAACAAAATATAACAAGAGTGCACACGCTGAAATGTATCGCCTTCTTTACTAATCATTGATGTTATGTTGATAGTCCTAAATATAAAGCTTTACTACCACTATCACATAAACTTAACATGATCCAAGAAAATGAGGTCAAGGTCATATAAACCAAACAAGAAATACATGTACACCTTATAATTATTCAATACACTAAATATAGTTGACCTATTGCTTATAGTTTCTAAGAAATAGACTTAACCAAGAAAACTAAACATTGACCAATGAACCATGAAAATGAGGTCAAGATCAGATAAACCATGCCAGGCAGACATATACAGCTTACAATTCTTCCATACAACAACTATAGTTTACCTATTGCTTATAGTTTAAGAAAAACAGACCAAAACACAAAAACTTAACACTGAGCAATGGACTGTGAAAATGAGGTCAAGGTCAAATAAAACTTGCGAGACTGACATGTACATCATAAAATATTTCCATACACCAAATATAGTTGACCTTTATTGCATATAGTATTAGAAAAAAAGACCACAACTCAAAAACTTAACTTTGACCCCTGAACCATGAAAATGAAGTCAAGGTCAGATGACACCTGCCAGCTAGACATGTACACCTTACAATCATTCCATACACCAAATATAGTAGACTTATTGCAAACAGTATAAGAAAAACAGACCAAAACACAAAAACTTAACTAACCACTGAACCATGAAAATGAGGTCAAGGCCAGATGACACCTGCCAGTTGGACATGTACACCTTACATTCCTTCTGTACACCAAATATACAAGACCTATTGCTTATAGTATCTGTGATATGGACTTGACCACCAAACCTTAACCTTGTTCACTGATCCAAGAAATGAGGTCGAGGTCAAGTGAAAACTGTTTGACAGGCATGAGGACCTTGCAAGGTACGCACATACCAAATATAGTTAACCTATTACTCTTGATAAGAAAGAAATTAACATTACAAAAAATCTTAACTTTTTTTTAAGTAGTCACTGAACCATGAAAGTGAGATCAAGGTCAATGGAAATGTGACACGGAAACATCGTAACATGAGGCATCTATATACAAAGTATGAAGCATCCAGGTCTCCCACCTTCTAAAATATAAAGCTTTTAAGAAGTTAGCTCACGCCGGCACCGCCGCCGCCGGATCACTATCCCTATGTCGTGCTTTCTGCGACGAAAGTCGCAGGCTCAACGAAAAAGAAAAATACTGTTCTAAAATAAAATACATGTTCTATATAATATTACAAATACATACAATAAAATATTACAAATCATAGTAACATGTGAATAAATCTTCATAACATGTGCAATGCTTGTTATATTCAGATGGAATTATTACATGTTAATGTAAATTGATCTGTTTCTTTACTGATGACTTTTTCTCTTCCTTTCACTCCTGCCTATAAGAGAAAAGTAAAATAACATTTAGTAGATTAAAACAAAAACGCGCTATTCCGCTGAACATGCTAAATGTAAATATTAATGGTGAAATCAACAATTTTGATCATGTTGATAGGTTGAGACTATCACATTTGACATTTATAACAAAATTTCTTTTCCCCCTCTGACCATTTTGATTACCTTGTGTGACTTTTCACACAATCAACATGATCATAATGTACATAACTTTTCTGACATTTTTAATCAATAAAGATAGTATAGCCAATAATAGTTTTCAAAATTTTTAGTGTAGCGCTGAGTTCTTTTCCCTTTCTCCAATTGAATGTTCCTGGCAACCTACATTCTTTTATGTTACTTTTTTTCATTTAACAAATACTGATCAAGATTTAAAAGGGGAGCAATATTGAGTTTTCATGTGGCTTTCCAAAGTCAAGACTGTTCCTGTCACCTAAAGTTGTATCTTAAGGAGGCTTGAGGGTATACAAATTCAGCAAAAATTTAAACTTTTTTTTTTTCTTTACAAATTTTTATTTCTTACACTATTAGTTGTTACTTTATGAAATGGTACAAAAATCAACCAAAAAAATCATTTCATTTTGGCCCCAGATGACTTTTGAATAGTTTATATCATTTAAAAAGCTCCAAATTATCTCCCTTTGATGAAAAAATGCCATTTCTTTGCATTAAAATTGAATATCTTTTTTAACTCATCGGTGACCTATATTTTTATTATTTTTTTCAAATAAGCTGTACTCAAATAAGCTGTACTAAACTAAACTATTCTAAAATTTAAGCAATTTCTGTAATTTAGTTCTTTTTTTATTTCGTCATTCCCTTTTTTTCTCCTATTAGTTCAACAGAAAAAAAGTAACTTAACAAAAATGCATGCTTCTTTCGAAGGCAGATTGTGAGCTCAAATGAACGGTGACCCTATACTTTTATTTATTTTTCTATTAAGTATAGGATAAAGTTTATTTCTAGAAAAAAATAGTGAAATCCTATATTTAAAAAACAAATATTGAGATATACCCGCGAGCCCCCTTAAAGCTTTTGTTTCAGGGAATTTGGTGTTGACAGTAGATGTTTGTGTGTTTTTTGGTTATTCAATTGACAATTGAGATGTTTATTAAATTCTACAATCACTTGTTGATCATTTCAAGACAGTTGACCTATAAAAATATGATGAAACCTTTTCAACTGATTTTTATAGTTTGTTCTTATGTTGTGCTGTAACACCACTGTCCCAGGTTAGGGGAGGGTTGAGCAACCAAACACTTGTTTAACCTGCCACATTCTTTATGTGCCTGTCCCAAGTCAGGAGCCAGTATTTCCATGGAAGTTGTTGGTTTATGTATGTTATATATTTGATTTTCGCTACTTGTTTTGTTATACTGTAAATTCAGAAATTATTGCGAGGTTTTTATTAATGCGAATAATGCGACTGTGTGAGTATCGCAATAATAAGAACTCGCATTTTGATTTTTGATACATATATTTGTATGCAGATTTTCCTGAAATCGCAATAATTAATCTCGCATTTTTGTCCATTATCAAAAAATCGCAATATTTAATGCACGCAATAATTTCTGAATTTACAGTAATAAATTGTATAAATTAGGCCGTTAGTTTTCTCAAATGATTTTTTCATATTTTTTCTGATCAGGGCCTTTTATAGCGGACTATACAGTATGAGTTTTTCTCATTGTAGAAGGCTGTACAGTTACCTATAACTGCTTATATCCACTTTATTCAAACTTTGGTGGATAGTTGTCTCATTAGCAATCATGCACCTTCTCCTTATTTTTATATAAATATAGGTCAAAACTGCATAGATCTATGCTGTTTAGTTATTTTTTGTGTTGTTGAGTTGCGTTTCATCTGTAATAAAAAGGTAAAAATTCTTGAAACAATATGTTTTATCTATGTGAACATCATGGATTATTTATTCCTTTCAAAATTCTGTGAATAAATAAATGGGGAATGCGTCCATGAGACACAGATTATGCCCCCGCTTGCATATAACATTTTAAAGGGTCATAAATCAAGAATGGTAAAAGTGACACACAGTACCCAAATGAGTACTTGATCTGAGTTTTGTGGTTATAAGCATTGTGTATAAGTTTCAGAACATTTGGTTAAGCAAACTTAAGTTTATAGTGAACTAAAATGAATATAAACAGCTGCGCCATGAGCACATGATACCTCCGTCGCTTTTTCAAAGAATAAGGTCTTCAACACAGCGAGAAAATCACGCACTATAAGTGTTTCTTGTTTCTCTTTTTTTTACATAGATAATTAGACCGTTGGTTTTCCCGTTTGACAGCTGGTTTCACACTAATCATTTTTGGGGTCCTTAAATTAATAATAGCTTACTGTTCGGTGTGATCCAAGGCTCTGTGTTGAAGACCGTACTTTGACCTATAATGGTTTTTCTTTTACAAATTGTGACTTGGATGGAGAGTTGTCTCATTGGGACTCATACCACATCTTCTTATATCTATGTACAAACATACAAAGATAAAACTTAATGCCCTCCTCCGCTACGACGGGGCATAACAAAATGCATATGGCAGATTCCATATAAGAAATTGAAATGTCTGTCAAAATGAATAAATAAATAAAAATAATAATTACTGTTATTTTAAAGATAATCTGTGGATGTTTTGAGGTATAATGATGTTAGAAGAAATTATAAAAATAATTTTTGGATATGATTGTTTCTGTTTAAAGTAGAAATAATTAAAACAAGTTGAAAAAATGCAAAAATTTTGACAGAATTAACTCCCATTTTTTTACACAATGTTTATGTGTTGCAATGCTTTATGTTGACACTTGTATACTGGTATTTACTAGTGTAGTCTGGTTATTCAAACATCCCTGTTCCCAAATTTGTTACTTTTTTTAGTCAAAAACATCTGTGATATATATTTTTTTTCACTTTCAAATATCTTGCTTTATAGCTCAGTGTCTGTCAATAAATCTTATGTCAGGAACATCGATGTAAAAACTTTCAAAATCATTGTAGGTTCCAATATATGCCAGTTAAAACTGTAAGTCATGCTGTGCATAAGAAAAAACACGTGTTGATTTTTTCATTTAACTTTATTCAAGCAATAGTTTTAACTTATATGTTTCCTACATAAGATCTGTCAAACTTGTTTTCTTATGTCTGAAACATTTGAATGTGCTAACAGTTAAAGTTCTTTGACCTGTAGTGAAATCTTGTTAGATGTTAGGCTGCAGTATTTTCCAGGAGTTTTAAAAATGACTTTCAACTAGGATTTGATTTCCAATGTCAGTAAAAAAAAAACAAATATATATTGTCTGTCAAAATATCTTATGTATGAAAAATCTTATATCAGAATCAAGTCTGTCAAAATCTTATGTCAGAAACTCAATTTGTCTGTCAAATCTTATGTCAGAAATGATAAAGTCTGTCAAATCTTATGTCAGAAAAAATAAAGTCTGTCAAATCTTATGTCAGAAATAATAAAGTCTGTCAAATCTTATGTCAGAAAAAATAAAGTCTGTCAAATCTTATGTCAGAAACAATAAAGTCTGTCAAATCTTATGTCAGAAACAATAAAGTCTGTCAAATCATATGTCAGAAACATAATATTTAAGGCTTCGCTTATTTAAAAAGGATGATGCTCATAATTTTTTTTTGGTCAAATTGTCTTTATCTTTATTAGTAAAGCATGTATTCAAAAACAGAAGTTCATTGCTTATGATTTTTGCCTAACGTGCTTATGGGAGTTGTTTCACTTTCTTATATGGAATCTGTCATATACATATAAAGCAGCAGGACTCTAATTAAGACTGAATATGACAGTACCTTATTCTTTATTCTTTCATCTTATCCCCTGCGTGATTGCTGACATGAATTTTGGTTCTTTATTTCTTTTACGTCCAGGCAATTTTGATATGAAAGCACCATATTTCAAGCTAAGTGTACCCATGATTTGTCCTGGGTGTATTTTGATAAAAATGATAAATGTTGACTGCATCTTTTGGTGTCTCTCTTGTAAAACAATAATGCAAAGTCTATGTGTGTTGCTTAAAATTACAAATCATAGGAATTAACCAGTAACATATATTGTTTTATAATTTCACTTCTGAAACAATCCTGACCGGTGACTGTACAGTTTCAGCATCCTTTCCTTTGTTCTTAATTTTTCTGATATTTAGCTGAAAGCAGGATCAATATCTTCATGTGTGTGGCAAACAAGTACTAACGACCAGAGAACCTGAAAAAAAATTATCTGTTGAGTTCTCGACTAGTATCATTTATTTATCCATTAAAGAGATACGGCTTTGTTAGAATTTTGAAAGGTGGAAGCAGTATAATTACTTTAATGCACTAATGTAATAAATAAAACAAGAATGTGTCCATGGGACATGGATGTCCCTGCTTGTAAATATATCTCTAATTTATCCTTTTTTCTATTAATAAAGTAACATAATATGAGAATGATGAAAGTGACTTGATCAGTGTTTGGTGTTTATAAGCATTGCCTGTGTATAAGTTCCATAACACTTGATGGTTGAGGCAAAGAAAAGCTAAAGTGCAATTAGGGTTTTGAACTAGTTTTCAATTACTTCAAGTTCCCTGATATTGATTCATGTTTTTTTTTATTGCAGTACGTACAGTAATAATCTGATGGTTGAAGAGGGCACAATACCACGACAACAACATGTTTATCAAAATATCATTTTCATTTTGTTCTTTCTTAATATTCCAAAACCACAGAGGAGAAAAATAAATTTCCATATCTTGCCCTGTTAATGAGTCGTAATGAAAATTATTCATCAAATACACATTTTGGTTATGTTGACTTATTTGTAGATCTTACTTTGCTGAACATTATTGCTGTTTATTATATGTAACAGTTTATCTCTATCTATAATAATAATCAAGATAGTAACCAAAAACTGCAAAATTTCCTTAAAATTACCAATTCGGAGACAGCAACCCAACAACGGGTGGTCTGATTTGTCTCAAAATTTAAGGGCAGATAGATCTTTACCTGATAAACAATTTTACCCCAACGTCAGATTGCTCTAAATGCTTTGGTATTAGAGATATCAGCCAAAATCTACATTTTACCCATAGATTCTATTTTTAGCCATGGTGGCCATCTTGGTTGGTTTGCAGGGTCATCTTACACATTTTCTTAACTAGTTACCCCAATGATGATTGTGGCCAAGTTTGGTTAAATTTGGCCCAGTAGTTTCAGAGGAGAAGATTTTTGTAAAAGTTAATGGTCGACGACAGCCCTTTGGGCCAGGTGAGCTAAAAAAGATGTACAACAGGTGTTTAGAAATAAAGAAGATAATGCACTCCAAAGAAATTTTTTTATTTACATTAGAGCTGCCATGAGAAAAAACATATGATAGATTTAATAGCAATATGGGAATTAAAATATTAATGTACAATGTAATGTATGTGCCTGTTCCAAGTAAGGAGCCTGTAATTCAGTGGTTGTCGTTTGTTGATGTGTTACATAAATTTGTTTTTCGTTCATTTTTTGTACATGTACATAATTAGGCCGTTATTTTTCTTGTTTTCTTGTTTTATATTTGTCATTTAGGGGCTTTTTATAGCTATGTGGTATGGGCTTTGCTCATTGTTGAAGGCCGTACGGTGACCTATAGATGTTAATTTCTGTGTCATTTGGTCTCTTGTGGAGAGTTGTCTCATTGGAAATCATACCACATCATTTATAAGCATAAATCAAATAAAGTTAAGTACAACATTTAAAAGTGGTGATGTTAATAACATTTCTGATATATCCAATTTTCTTGAGGAGAATATCTAAAATATATGAATTTATGAGGGCTTGGAACCCCGCTAACATGTTTAACCCTGCCACATTCTGTGCCTGTCCCAAGTTAGGAACCTGGACAATCAGTGGTTGTCGTTTGTTGCTGTGTTACATATTTGTTTTTCGTTAATTTTTTTGTATTTTTATAAGGCCTTTAGTATTGAATTGTTTTACATTTGTAATTTTGGGGCCTTTTATATATGACTATGCAGTATGAGCTTTGCTCATGTTGAAGGCTGTACTGTGACCTATAGCTGACTGACAGACGGAGGGACAGGGGTAAAACAATATGCCCGCCAACTTTTAGTTGCGGGGACATACAGAGTTATACACTTTGTTTAAAATACTATTGAAAAATCATAATTTAAATTATTCATGTTTACAGAAGTCTTTTGTTATAATGTTTATATTTGTATTGTGTTGTGTTGTTTTATTTCTGTATCACATATAAGTCTAAAAGTTTCCCTCAAGGACCACCAGGAGAAAAAAGATTTCAAGAACTCTGTAATGGAGAGAAAGAATGGATAGGGTTTAAAGAATAGAGAATATTGGACAAACATGTGCAGAATAAAGAGGCAAACAAATAAAGAATAGAGAATATTGGACAAACATGTGCAGAATAAAGGGGCAAACAAATAAAGAATAGAGAAACAATTGCAAAAATAATACAGAATATTGAATAATAGGGCACAAAAATACAGTTAATAGACATGATAGAGATAATATAAATGGGCAAAATAAATAATGAATAGAGAGAAAAATTTGTGAGGGTTCCCGGAACCCAGTGTCTTGCCTACTTTTGCTGTTAATCGCAGGCTCAACAAAAATGAGGAAAAAAATTAATAAAAATATTCCTCTTTATACTATCTTTTGATTGTAAGTAGCTTCTGTCCAAGTTTGGTAAAAATCCAGGATAGTTTATGAATCTAATAAATGTTTTAAAAACTTAAACGTAATGTTAACTGGAAGAAAAACTAAGTCCATTTAAGGGTAAAATACGGAAAAAATGGAACAAAATTTTAACAAAATTTCCTTCTAGATACTAGCTTTTAGTCATAAAAAGCTTCTGTCCAAGTTTGGTACAAATCCAGGATAGTTTAAGAAAGTTATTAAAATTTGAAAAACTTTAACCACAGAGTGAACGTAATGTTAACTGGCAGAAAAACTAAGTCCATTTATAGGTAAAATACGGAAAAAATGGAATATTTTTTTTACAAAATTTACTTCTGGATACTATTTTATGATCATAAACAAGCTTCTTTCCAAGTTTGGTAGAAATCCAGGATAGTTTAAGAAAGTTATTAAAATTTCAAAAACTTTAACCACAGAGTGAATGTAATGTTTCCTGGCAGAAAAACTGAGTCCATTTAAAGGTATAATATGGAAAAAATGGAATTTTTTTTTTACAAAATTTACTTTTGAATATTATCTTATAATCATAAATAAGCTTCTGTCCAAGTCTGGTAGAAATCCAGGATAGTTTAAGAAAGTTATTAAAATTTCAAAAACTTTAACCACAGAGTGAATATTTATGGACGCCGCCGACCACGACAACAATGAGGACGATGATGACGACGCCGCCAATGGAATGTAGGATCGCTATGTCTCGCTTTTTCGACAAAAGTCAAAGGCTCGACAAAAAATGGTCTAATATTTAAAGAATAAAGACAATAAGGACCCCCTCATCCAAACCCTCATTTAGCAGAACAGTAAAAATGATAATTATCTACTTTCAAGGAGTGTTTAATATTTGGACATTTTCAAACAATTTCATACATTCCCATATCTTTAACTATTTGATCATTACTTACATCTGTCCATTATTATGCTGCCTTTTAGATCACATTGCATTTGAAGCTGATGTTCAATACTTGCACAGTTGTACACCTAGAAAAAAAATCTGCAAAAATAAGATAAAACAGTCTTGTGTAACTGTCATACTAGTTTAGATACAGAATTGTGTGACTTTCTAACAGAAAATTTACATCACATCAATGAGAAATTGCAAAAAGTAAATAAAATTATTCATTTGTCGCTTTCGTTGTTGAGGTTACATGTACATGAGTGCATTAGCTGCCTTATTTTTACATGTTCACAAATCAGTATCCGGGAGAGCAGTAAATATATAGAGGCTCTGCACCCTCCCCCTGAAATTTTGTGCTCTGAAGGGAACCAGGTGCTTTTTCTATGTAAGGAAAGAGTTTAAAAATTATCCATCATGTCCTCACATCTAATTATTAAAAGATGATTTTATTGATCATTGAAATGTGTATCAGAGTCAGAACTTCTCATTGTTCATTTTTTGGGGGACTATTTATTACCCTATAATTTAATGTTTTTATTGTCTTTAATTAAGTGACTGACACAGTACTGAGGATAACATTTTCATATCTCTTCCTTTATATCTACAAATTCTAATGATGTTTCACATCCTGGGGGATTAAAACCCATGAAATTGAAATTTTTCACACATAATTGACTAATAGTAGTAATTGGGAATGTAAACATGTAATAAATTTTTTCCCAGTAGGCAGTTTAACCAAACTTAAGATACAGACAAGACATAATAAATCTATTATACTATATACACAGCATGCACAGGACATGTGCTCCTATCATAATGATGAACTGAGTCTATACTGTCCCTTTAACAAATAATGCAAAGTTAAAAATTTTTGTTATTTAGATTCTGTGAATTTTTTTAATTTTAAACATTCTTAGTTTGTTTGAAATAGATATAAGTTGTATACTTAATCATCTGTAGAATTTTTTTATTAATGAAAAAAAAAGAATTAGCTTAACTGATTAATCTATAAAGATTATAGTCGATCCAGGTAATTTCGTACAGGCAGTTGGTCCGAGAACACAGTTATTTTGTAGTGCATTTCTTTTAGACAATAAGTGGAAATAAATAAATTTGGTGTATGTACTGCATGACTTCTGATTGGTTAAAAATGTAACCTTTATTTTCAATGTTGTCAATTTTTATGGCGACACGCCCACTCTGACGTTGTGTATTCATACGCCAACATGTGTGTACGTTGTAATTGTTAATATAAATAATATAAAAAGCTCTTTGAGCCTTATTTTTGATAGAAATTTATTCATAATGAATGACAATAATTTATTTTGAATTTATTGAACCATAAAATTAATTTTTGACTCTTCACATTTTACATAATTTGCTTCGCAGATTATTCAATGTGAAGAGTCAAAAATTAATTTTAAG